ATGGCTGTCTTGAGGGTACGGTTGAATCTTTCCACGATCGAGGCTTTTTTCGTAGAGTGAGTGCTGTAGAGGTTTATGTTGTTTTGGCGCATCAGTTCTTCAAAGTGTTGATTATAGAATTCCGAGCCGCGGTCCACCTGGAGGTTTTTAGGAGGTTTCTTGGAAGTTTTAAGAACTTTCTTCATGGCTGATGTTATTGAAGGTCCAGTTTTGTCCTTGGTCGGTATGCCCCAAGCGAATTTCGAGCAGGCATCGATGACGGTGAGCAAGTACTTGTGTCCGCGATTCGCTGTAGCGTACGGTATCATCTCTACGAGATCGGCTTGCCACAGGTCGTAGAGTCCGAGGATATCCACTTTTCTCCGTGGGAAGTTGCGCCGTGCTTGTTTGTGTAGCTCGTTGACAACGGCTCGTTTCATAGGTGTAGGCTCCGCCATTGTTGGAAAAATACTGACACCTATGTCTCAATCGTCCCGATTTATAGGGTTACCGTCAGAATCTTTCAAACGAATGAGATTAAGGGTCGACGTTGTATTTGATGAGGGTTGGGTCGACGTCCATCTTTCCATCCAGTAGATCGTAAAATTTTCTTCGTGTAACGACAAGCTCGTGTTGCAAAGACTCTTTCAAAACCTGGATACCGTGCAGCAACTGCTTCAAGTTTACGGCGTCAGATTCTTCCTTGGCATCTGCGAGTTTCTTGATCCTCTTTTCGCGAGCGTTGTAGTTCCTGTCACTATCCACCTGTAGTCCCTCGATAACCGCCGATGCGGATCGCGTACCGTCGGTACTGGTAGCCAGAGGTCTTCCGAACTTATCCACAGTGCTCATGTTGTATCAGACGATGTAGCCACCTTCGCGCAGTTCTTCTTCGATGCTCAGAATCTCGCGTTCCAAGCCTGTGTTGCCGGCCTCTCGGGATGCTGCTAGCAATGCCAGACGTTCCACCAGCTCGTTCGGGTCGTCCCAGTAGATGAAACTCCGCTTGGTTTCCAGTGGTACAAAGAGTCCAGCACCTTTCCGTGGAGTGCGCTTCGCTTTGGGACTTTTTACCGGTTTGGTCGATGATTTTGGAGGAAAGAGGTTACGGACAATCTGCGTGTATTTCTTGGATCTCGAAACACGTATCGCCCCGTCCGCGGTGAAATTGACTCTGTGGGCGTTCGTCTGTTGCAGGATTCTTTTATACTTGTGCAGATCATCGACGGTGTAGCTGTGTGGTGAGCATTTAAAAACCAACTCCAACAGGCCAGGAGTCACGACTCCGAATGAGGTTCCTCCGATGTAGAGCTTGTCATTTTCATCAAAAGACACCGGCTTGTTACCGATCATCCATTCAGCTATCTCTCCACCACCGTGTCTAACTCCAAATACGTGATCAAACTGCTTCCGTCTCTTATCCGTAGCGCGAGCCCCCAACAGCTCGCGGAAGTAGGGTCTTGTGAGTGGTCCAAACTTTTCAATGTAGGTTTCTAACCTCGCGCTTCCATCTTCAGATGTTTCCTCTTCTTCTTCTTCTTTCGGTTGTTCCTTCTCCTCCGACTCTGGGCTCTCGGTGTCCGGGTCCTCAGGCTCCTTTTTCACTTCTTTTATGACTTTGATCGGTTGTTCCACATCTTTTATCTTGATAATGGCTTTCAGAGGTTCGACAACCGGTCTGAAATGTTTCTCCAACGCTGCGCTGACCTCCGTCTCTCCGCGTCGCAGCGCGTTGAATTTTCGCTTGATGATTTCGCGAGAGCGTATGATGTCTTCGTAATGCTCCATCTCGAACGGGACTGACTTGTTATGCTAGCTTTCACCGCTTTATAAAGGTATCGAATCCTTTCCTGTACCGACCCCGATCCATATCACTGTCTTTGTCGATCACTAGAAAACCGTATTTGCTTTCTCGCCAGCATAACGCACACATTTCCTTAAACTCATCGAATGTCATGTCCGTATTCACATGATCCTCGTAGGCATGTTTGAGGTTAGTTTCATCCTGACGAAAAAGCACAACTAGATTCGCGTTATCACGTATCAGTTGCTTCGGGATACGGCTATAAGTCTGACAAAGGTAGAAACTGTCCACCGCACTGTGACGACCCATTGCAAAGTACTCGCGCATGACATTTTGCTTATCGCATGCTACGTCATCGAAAATGAACACCGAGTCGCGTTTAGCCTCGTTTGGCTTGACAATGTCCGTGTTGTCAGCGAAAACATAGTAACCTAGTCCATCAACGCTTTCGAGAATTTCTCCTAGCGTCGCGTATTTGGGCTGAAACGGGGTTTTAGAGTATAGGTACACGTTACGGAACTTGAGTCCGTTCGGGTCCAGCAGGAGGCATACAACAACGTTAGTTTTCCCGCAATTCGAGGGTCCGCAAACTATGCACCGTATGCTATCGGGTAAGAGGTCGCTATGTCGTCGTTCCACCACACCTCGATCGATCGAAGGTGGATCCGCGTTTTTCACTTTCAATCGTTTCCGTTGCTGTTCGAGCCGCATCTCGGATGATGAATGAATCAAACTAGGGATTGACCGCGCTATTTATAGGGAGTATAAATACGACCCGTCTTTGCTAAATCAGTCAGTCTGCATCGAAATGTCGTCGAGAGAAGAGAAAGGTAAAAAAGGCTTGATTGGCGAAGCGGTCGGTTGGTTGCAAAAGATCGGTAATTCCCGCACGCCTACGATCAAGTACCAGAAGCTCAGGGAAGAGGATTCGCCTCGCGAGCGATACGAGGGATACGATATTGCCGGCAACAACGATCCCAAGTCTATGCTTCTACCACGGAAGCACAAGTGAAGTTTAGTGAATTTGCTAGTGAATACAGACTCCGGAATGTGGGGTGTTATGATAAGACTGTTTTCAAGGATCGCTCGAAAAATTATTCGCGTTGTCAAGGGGGTGAAGATGCGATCCAAGAAGAAGGTCCCTGATGCTCCCGATTTTGACGATCCGGACCCGGAAGAAATCGAGGAAACTCCTGCTATATAAATATCATCATCACCGCCGCGGGCTCAGTCGGAGTTATGGCATCGAAGCGGCAACACCGTCGAGGAAAGGGAATTCTGAATAAATTGATAGATTCGCTCCCGTTCGAAGCTCATATTCCTGGGTATAACTACGCGGGGCCCGGTACGAAGTTGCAACAACGCCTGGCACGTGGAGATGCCCCTGTGAATCCTCTCGATTCAGCAGCGAGAGAGCACGATATTGTGTACAGCAAGACGACAGACATCAAGGAGCGTAACAAGGCAGACTTGGAACTAGCCGACAAAGCTTGGGAACGTGTCAAAGCCAAGGATTCGTCGATCGGAGAGCGTCTAGCAGCCTACGCAGTCACCAACGCGATGAAACTCAAAGCTAAACTCGGAATGGGTGTGCGCAAGAAGAACGGGAGGACGGTAGTGAAGAAAAAGAAGATAGGCGCTGGACTCCGCAAAAAGCAAAGTGGACCGCGGAAAAAGTCAACTGGAATCAAGACCGGTGCAGGGGTCAAGAGGAAGAAGAGGAAGACGGCTGCAAAGAAACGTGTTGTTGCTCGGATAATCCCGCTTCCGCAAACAGGCGGAAAAATCAGGTCGATTCTGACCAGGATCGGAGTCGCTGACAGATCGATCGTCCCGACTGCCAACAAGATCCAAACAGCCATTGCATCCAGTAAGAAGTCTACGCGTGTTGGAAAAGGGTTGTACCTACGCCCGTATCGATCCGGTCATGGACTCTATCTCAAACCTTGGGCCCCTGATTTAAGCTGATCAAAGAGCTACCCCGAAAACCTCTGAGCGACGCGGAGCTGAGGAGGATCGCAAAGAAACTCGAAATACCGCATTTTCGCAATGTTTTCATGCGTGATCGACTGAGAAGATTAACACCTTGGATAAAAGAGTGCGCCATCGTCAATCTCGATTCGAGCCGCGGTCCAGGCACGCACTGGGTGGCCTTCAGCAAACGTGGCTCGCGCACTCTCTACTACAACAGTTTCGGTGACCTGACTCCGCCCCGCGAGTTGATAGAGTACTTAGGCGGTAGCTCGATTGAATACAATTTCAATTCCGAACAGACTTTTGACACGGTGATCTGTGGACATCTCTGTTTAGAGTTTCTTATAAAAGCAGCGCAATACTGGGAGAAGACATCACAATGAGCGAGACCATCCTACTGAACGGTAAGAGCAACGTGCTCGAAAGCGTATTTTCTCCGCCCATTTTTTTGGACCCGAAAAAAGTGCACTATGTCGGTCTGGTGGAATTCGTCGCGTTCAACTCTATTCCGAACATCGACCACACGAACCAGATCTTGCGTTACATCCAGCGGCAAAAGGTTGATGACCCGGACAAAGAGGACGAGAAGGAGGTGATGGAGAAGGATATCATCTTACCGAGAGGAGCTTACGAAATCCAAGCCATCAACGATTTCCTGCAGAGTAAACTTGGAGCGGAAAACATCGAGCTGAAAGCCAACAACAGCACGCTGCGGTGCTCCATCAAGAGTGCGTTTGACATTGATTTCTCGCATCCCGGTTCGATCGGTCCCCTGCTCGGTTTCAGTCCCAAAATCTTTCCGGCAGGACAGCAGTTCGAGTCGGAATACCCCGTTAAGATTATGACCCTGCAGTCGATCAGAGTCGAGTGCAACGTTGCCAGCGGAAGTTACGTCAACGGTTCGCTCTCTCACACCATCTTCGCCTTCTCACCGAACGTGCCGCCGGGCTACAAGATGTCGCTCTCTCCACGCACCATAATCTACAACCGTATAAATACCCATGTCATCGACCGTTTGCGCATCAGTATCGTCGATCAGGACGGACGACCGGTCGATTTCGGAGAAGAATTGGTCACTGTGCGCTTGCATCTCAAGTCAACCGATGGGTAAACTGAAGAGTATAAATACGTTGCGCCTTGACCGTTGGTCACTCAGTGCAGTGTCGAAGCACAAGCGGTTGACACCTTACAGCAGACGCGTCCTGCAGCAGCTCGGGTACACAGTCATCGGATGAACTTCAAGATGAGTAGCTTATCGAAAGACTATTATTACAAACAACCGCATACTCACCGTCCTTACACGCCATCCTTTCGGAACAACGATGAGATACGCATTTCGGTCTGCAGCCAAGATCTTTACACCCTGCCTGGACATTCGCTGATTCAGATCGAAGGAAAAGTGACTTACACCCCAAAAGCAAACGGTGCTGCACCGGACGATGGAAAATCAGTCATCCTAACCAACAACGCCCTGGCTTTTCTCTTTGACCAAGTACGGTACGAGTTGAACGGTGTGGAAATCGACCGTACTCGACATGTTGGAGTCACATCCACAGCCAAAACACTGCTCACCTGTACCAAGGATGAAGCAGCTGCCCTCGAAATCGCCGGCTGGGGTGCTCCTGTTTTCAACGCAGCGGACAAGACGTTCCGCGGATCGATACCTCTCGGCTTCCTCTTGGGATTCGCCAACGATTTCAAGGGCTACATTGTTCGCATGAAGCAAGATCTCGTGCTCATCCGCTCGCGCACTAACAAGAACAGTTACGTTCTCAAAGATGGTGCGGAAGAGAACGCCGTCACCCTGGAAGTGGAGAGTGTGCAGTGGATCATGCCTCAATTGAAGTTCAACTTGGGACCTGAGAAAGCCATCTTGGACAAGGTCAAGAGTAACGGATCGTTCCAGATTAGCTTCCGCAGTTGGGAAACCCACGAGTACCCGCAACTCCCGATCAACAACAAGGAGACCTGGAAGCTGATGACCAGGAGCAACGTCGAAGCTCCCGACGACTTTGTCCTTGTCTTCCAATCGAGTCGTATGGACGACGAGAAGAAAGACGCCAGCAAATTCGATCACGTCCGGCTCAGATCATTTAGAGTTCACCTGAATAGCACATCCTTGCCGTACGAGAACCTCAACGAGAATTTCGATCGCAACAAGTATCTCAATTTTTACCAGAACTACTTGAACTTCATCACAGAGTACTCGAACGGCGAGAAGTTGTGCGAACCCCCGTTGTCTTTTGAAAAGTTCAAGTCGGAGAATCCAATGTTTGTCATGCACTGTACTTATCCTGACATTATCAAGCCGGGTCCTTTGGACATCCAGATTGACATGGAATCCGACGTGAACTTCCCCAAGAACACTTCTGCCTACGCCATCCTGGTTCACAACGTCACCTATTCTTACAAAACTCTAACCGGAGAGGTCAAAAGAGTCTATTAATGTTCTTCCCCACTCCCTTGACGTTATGGCTTATTTACATATATTCACTATCAATTGTTTAGCTTAAGTGCTTTGATTTGTATGGCTTTATTGATCAATAAAAGTATTATATATTCAAAATCTGTTTACTGCTTTATTGTAATTACCCAAAGGGGCTCGGGGATAATTGATGGTGGGTGGAACGGTAAATGAAAGATTTGTTTGAAAAAGCAATGAGTGTATTTCAGGAGGATACATACAAACGAATAGACAAAACAAACAATGGTTTAATTTAAAAAGACATTTTAAAACAAGTTACTTTCATGATAAGAAGATAGAGAAAAGAAAGAGAAACAAAATAAAATAAAATCAATGACAGAAAGTATCGATAAACCCTGCATGGAGGGGAAGGATGTTTCTTAAGAGTTAATACATAGTTATAAAAGTACACATACGTTTTCTATCCATGAATATAGTAAAGGAAAACAACTTTTGATTTTGCTTGCATGGATCGATTAAAAAAAACAATTTTGTATGTCTTAAAATCATGAATGAAATATATTTTACAAGAGAAACAACGATGGTGGTGAGACGCGTCTCTAGGTCATGAGAGATTTGTGTGCAGGTTCATACAGAAATAAAGAAAATATGGTCTCCTACTTTCTGAGAGCAGTTCAGCAATGTGCTTAATTTTATCCCAAGCCTCCTGTGTGCGAGGAAAAGTTTCTTCCGGCAAAAGAGATTCATGGAAACACGTATAAAGATGAGGCTTAGACATTTCAAATTTTCCCATGCTTTCATAAATCGGATTGATACGCCGATACCATGGAGTTTTCGTGTATTCTGCATATTTTAGCTTGATGTTGGCGCTATTAAAGAACTTAGTCTTACCAAAATTGAAAGCGAGATGAAAAAGCGAGTCGAGTATAACTGATCTTAGCATACTCTGACCTAATTTATACTCAAGACCATGTTCACAATACTTGTCCATGATGAATAGGAACATCATGTAGTCTTCTCCCGAAAACAAATCTCTCATGACTGCAAGAGAGCGCCTCAATTTTTCCGTGCAAGCCGTGTTACATTCGTGCACGGCCGAATCAAAGACCATGTTCATTAGTTTGAAAGAAGCACGTTCGTTAGTACTAACAACGCTAAAATGTTTAAGACAGAGATAAAAATTTGGTACGAAATTTAGTAAAAAGTGGAGCCTTGTTTCATACGGGAAAGGCATATCCCTAAAAATTCTAATGACATCCGAGTACTTGCAAACCCTCACAGCCTGAATTTGCAAACTTTCCACTGAAACACGATAACAATTAAAATGAGTAAAACTTAATTTTGAAAAATCAACACCATCATCGTCATTTCTCTTTAAGCTTAAACATTGTTTTCTTTATAAAGGTTTAAAAGTCGAGTTGCTGTCTGAACAGCGCAGTTTGGATGACTGTACAGACAGCAAATCTTGGGGTATTTTATCCCTGCATCATCATCGTCAGCATCTTTATCAAACACTGGTAAAATTTTGATTTTAACAGACTGGGATTTGTACGGAAACACTGTTTTTTTAATGTTATCATTTTCAACTATCCAGTTTTTGAATTCGCGAGCGATATGCACAAATACGAAAGGCATGTGGTGGTAAGGAACACTACCGTCATCCCATGCAAGTCCCAAGTTAAAATTACTTTCATGCTTTACAGTGTGTTGATCATTTACTGTCAATCGTTCAAAGCGACAAGGAGGACGGATAGTCCACACGTGGTAGATTTTGCCTTCCTCGCAAACCACTGCTATTTCTTTAATGACAAATTCACGTTGTAGGAGGAATCCTTTTGTATCCAAAAAACACGTCATGATGATGATGATGGTGATGAATGATAGTGATGATGATGATGATATGATAGTGATGATGACGATGATGATTTACAACCTGAAATACACATAATACATTATTTACATCAGCAAAAATTTGAATACAGGTCTCCCTAACCAATACGCATCACTCGCGTTTTTGGAACTCGTATTTGAAGGTCCTGTAGTGCGGACCAACATAAACAAGATTTAGACTGCTTTTGTTTATCTCTTCTATTTGATCATCCGTCACTTTGTCACAGTATGCCTTCGGTAAATACAAGTGGACCTTTTCATCACCCATCATTATGTTGACGCTCAAAGCCTCTCCATGTTTTGTATTCGACTTGTACATGTTAGTCAGTTGATATTTTCCCCCTAGAGTGAGGTCACTGGGGCGGACGATGCGCAGGGGAGTAAATAAGTCAACGCTGTTTAATGCTTCCATCTGTAAACAAATGTGGAGGAGATATAATAATGATACAGTTGACGTTAAAAAAATTGAATTAACATTCTCGAAACTTTTTGATTGGACATTCCAATGCGTCTAGTCGAGTGGGCGGTTTTCTTTTAAGAGGATTGCATGCATTTTCTTCTACAAAATTAAGTTTAACCAGTTCAATCCTTTCCCTGTCGAGGCGTTCGAGACGTTCACTAAAAGATTCTTCATCTTCGGTTATCCTACTTTTTAATCGTGTACGATCAAATTCCGCAAGTTGCACCTTCAACAAGCTACCGATTTCTGACCGTCGCTTTAAACACTTGTGACCGTATGGTAGCGTAACAACGTTCCCTTGCAGAACCACGCGTTTATCATCGTGGCTTGACAACGCCTTCTTCTTTCTCTCGACTGAAAAGATCTTATGTTTAAAACTTTGAAATTGCCGATTCGTTCTGTAGACATCGTTGTTTGTATACAAGGTGTTGATGTAGTCATTCGGGGTTATGGTATTTTTTAGGACGAATGTATCAATTCCTTTAGCCCGCATATCATACTTTGTTTGAGTAGAGTATTGATACATTTTCGACCGGAGTCCACAAAACTCAACGATTGGGTCCCCTCCGGTCTCGTCTTTGAATGTTCCCATTTTTTTGTAATTTTCCGCGGAGAAACAAGGGTGTTTGTCTGGGTAATTGGACGTGTCATAGAGCAGCAGGTCTTCGAGCATGTCTCTATACACATCTTCTGTCCTAATCAAGTAAATAAAACTATCAGTGTCCATATAGCAGATTTCCACGTCCTCTCTTGAATATTTCTTGAGCACAACATCGTAATGAAAGCTGTACATGTGGGTTTTGCTAAGTTCCAAAACAGCAAAACCCACAATGACGGGCCGATCAAAAACAAGTTTTTTATGGCGTAACTCGACCGCCACCAGCTCGTCATCAAAAATTTTACGATCGACAAACTCGGGTTTTGAAATTAGTTTCATTATTTGCTTTTTATTTGTTGCTAATACTAATCTACGCCTCTTGAGGGGGTTCTCCAAAAATTTACCATAACAAGCGTTGCTGATCAATTTCAGCAACTTTTGTTGGAACTCATTCCCCATCGCCTCTTTCCGAAGGTCGGCGTTTAAGTCAATAAATTCTTTAAGGTATGCCCGCTGCTTAAAGCGCATTGCACGATGAACATTTTGCAATACAAGCCCGTGTTTTATTGCTTGCTTGAGTTTCACAAAATGGATACAATAATTTGACTTGTCCTCTAATGTAGTGAGCAATTTGGGATGTTTGGAACCTAGGGCAGGCGGAACTTTGTTTTCCTCACAAAACGGAAGATCAAAGTGAAGGTCGTGAAGTTCTTCATTGTACCGGAGATCCACCTCAAAAATGAATCCTTCGGGCCCGTCATCTGGCAAACTCATCAACTTTCCAACATCCTTACGGTCCGGACCAAACAATATGTCTAGTTCTTCATCCTTAACCCATTCGTAATGCTGATAAGGAAGAGGTTTGCACATTGTGTACGCGTACAAGGCTGTAACATCGTAGTACATTATATATGACTTTTTTTCCTCTTCCTTATAAGTATCAGGAATGTGGGGGTTGTTGGCTTGGGCATGACGGAGCATGCATTGAGAGATTCCACCACGAATGCTGTTTATGATCATCATGAGTTTATCATAGTCCTGAAATCTCTCAATCCATACACCAGTCTTTTTGAGGAATGCAGAAAACGCGAATGCTGGAAGGGTTAAGTAATTTGCACAATCTAATGCATAATATTTTCTACCAAACGAGCGAAATGCCTCAAAAACGTCAGCCAATAAGCAAACATCTATCTTCAGATACAAATCATAATAATCACCTAGATCCTTGCATTCAAATACCTCCCATGTTTTTAAAAACCTGTTATAATCTTCCTCTTTAATATTTTGTCGCGTTAATTTACTATAGAATGCTTCACGAGGGGGAGGGACCGTTTCTTTGAGCTTTTCCTCATCGGTAACATAATCGTAACAAAACACCGCTTTGGACCGCACGAGTTTTTTTCTCTCCTCGTTCTTTCCGCAAAGAGCATAAGTTCGGGTTAAATCATGTTCCGGAAGCGATTTCGCTAGCTTATCCAAAGACTCGGGTAAGAATCGATAGCTGTCTACAAATTTAATATGTATACCGAAATCCGTCCAAATAGTCAAACTTATATACGTCTCGTTGGTGATGGGGATGATACTAATTTTATAAGGATATCCGCTCAACGCTTTGACGATAAAATGTAAATCATATTTTGACAGATTATGAAAAAAGCATATGAGACTCTTGGGAATTTGGTATCTCAAATTACACCGTTGGCACAAAGCTTGGCGATAAGTTGACTCGTCAGAAGGAACATACTGATGGTCGTGATCCCGGACCTTTTTAACTTTGGTAGAAAATTCCCGTTTGCACATGTTACATTTTGTTGCAGCGCGGAACTCGGCCCAATCGTTTTCCGTCAGCGTAAGTTTTGTGCGGTTCATCTGAATCCGACTAGCAACGCGCCTCGCCAAGTCCAAAATCCAACGCAAAAACGCTTTATGAGCTTCAGGAACTCGAAAGAGCACGGGGAGTGGCTGATGAATCTCAGGATCTGTCGAAACAATTTGGGCCGCGAAAGACATAGGCTCGTGTTCTTGGTAAGAAAACGATGGGATCGATGGATCGAAATCAAGATCTCGAAGATA